ACAACGCATGAAGAACTTCAGACCTTGGATGTCGATGACGCGTTTTTCTCTACCCCAGAGGATATAGCAGCTAGAGCTTTAAAGGTCGGTGTGATAGGACAGCCAGCTTCTGTCTGGTCTTCTACACATTGTCGGGGCAGTCCAGGCTCTCTCTGTATTTCTTGGAGAGGATCCTCCCTACCTCAGCTGTTCTCTTCAGTCCCATCAGTGTGGAAGGATGTACACGTGTCCTTTGTGTAACACTGTGCCACCCTGTGTGTTCCTTTATACACATGGAGAAATAAATGAGGATGCTCTCTCCAAGAAACTTCCTCCTTCATTCTTCACATTTGTCCCCGGTTCGTGGAGGATCCTCCATATTTCCAAGGGTGGAAGGGAAAATAACATAGTGAAGTCCAAAGCTAATTTTCCAATAGACCTTTGATGAATTCTGTGGGATGAGAAGATCTCATAGGAAACAATAGATAAGTCCATCTCGTTAAAATGGATTTTATTTGAACTGACTAGTTGGCAATGTCCCATGAGCAAGAATATGGCCACAGAGTTTCTGCTGAGTCTGAGGAATTTGCGTATTCAAACCACAGACTGGGGATAAACCTTCCCACCTTGAAACAGTTTTGTGGGAGAGGTATCAAGTTGCCTTTCTGCTCCAAATGTCTGTGTTAACTGAGAAGGAAGGGCAGAGCAGAGGAGCAAAATAGAGTATTGACAGGGCGAGGCAATTAAAGAGATGAGGTACATCCACAAGGCAGAATTTGTCTACCACCAGGTACTAAGGTGGGATATTCAGTGAAGCAAAATTTTAATTTTGCAGTTTGCTGTCTGTATCAGTCAACTTAGTATGCATTGTGTGTCCCGCAGCCACAAGGTGGAGTTAACTTCATCAGAACGTTCAAGAAACAAGCAGAAGATCAAGCAGTTAACCTCCCACCAAACTTGGATGAGCTTGTGCAAAATGCCACCTACGTGCAATCTCCGGACAACCTTGTATGGCAGTACTTCTACAACCTCAAAGGTACACAGCTAACAACTTTGTGTGTAAGAGCTCTCTCTGTTTCTAGAGGGGGAGAGCAGGGGATCTGTAACTGATTCACTGAAACAGAAGTTGAAAAGTACACAGAGAAATCCTAAGAATATAAGGAGATAAAATGGAAAATATATTGATAGAACATCTAATTACTGCCCTTTGAAGATGTATAACTTGATTCTTATCTTAAAGTAGTTTACCTTTTTGATTTTAATGTTTCTATCTGCAACAGTAGATACGAGAGCAGAATGCCAGTAAGCAGCAGGGCGTGAACTAAATGCTTCCCAGTTCGAGGTTCTCTACTGATGTATGTAAGCAGGACTGCTGTGTTCCCTGCTACAGCTAAGTTAAGCAATAACCTAAACCTAACCTTTTCATTCAGAAATTAAAATCTAATCGGCCAGGAAGCCCTGCAGCAGGTTAGCTGGAGAGTGACTGGTGCTGAGCTGCTTAGTGTGTCTTGTGTTTGCACATGGAACCTAAATGAATAAACACCTTAACATATACCTAATTATGTCCTCCCTTTTCTTTTACAACTACAACTTCATAAACAGCATTGAACCATATTCACTGGTTTATCAACGTTCGTATTACACAACCCTCTGTACAACCTGGATCTAGTGATTATCAGTGAGCACCTAATAAACATAGATGGCAAAACTTAATTCCAAGTGCTGTAGTCTATTCAAGAAGCTACAAGAAGCAAATAGATGTCCAGAGCTCCACACAGAGCTGATGGAGGTCGTGAGAAATAGATGCGGGACAAAAATCTTTGCACTTGGAGCAAAATGTTCTGCATTGGCAGTACTTTACTGGACTTAAAGATTGATGTGAATTAATATACTGAAAGTTAGCGTGTTCTTTATGTGAATTAATATACTGAAAGTTAGCGTGTTCTTTAAGTGTATTGTTATTGACAGGAATTTGGGATGGGAAAAGTCTAGTGGGAGTTTTTCATTATGGTTATCTGAGTACAGAAAAAATGCAGTAAAGGAGATTGCACGCTTTATAGTGCATGAAGGATAGGTAAGCTAAGTGGGCTTTCCTTTTGGTTCCAGGAGCTCCTAAGATTTGAGGCCTCAGGTTTAGTACGTAGTAGTGACTTGAAGCTGGCCAATGCACTAACAAGCAATGTTAACCAAACCTGGCTGGAAACACTCATTTAGCTGTCTTTGTTTTTAGGGTCAGCAGAATATCCTTTTCCAGGAGGAGTCTTCCAGTGGGCTCGCTACCGCATAAATGGCACTGGGCTAAATGAAACAGAAAAAATCTTTAGCGAGTCGCTGAACAAGGTATGTGCTTTCAATTGGATACTGTAGCTACTTAAACGTAAGGCACAGGATGCAATTTGTGTGGGTTCATCGCTGCGTTGTCATGTGTAACAGGGATGTTGTGAACTCAGATGGTTTTCTGAACAATTTTGTTCTGCTTTTCAGCATGAAAATACCCTTACCTTAGCAACTCTCAGGATATTCAGCAATGGACTGGGGCAGCCGCATTTCCACTTCAACGCTAATGAGATGGGTTATGTCATTAGCGGCTGCGGACAGGTAATTTGTTACATCGGTGATGGATAAGTCAGTAGAGATTAGGCTGTAAAACAATTACAGACCTAATAGCTGATTCCCAGCCCTGATTAATGCCACTATAATTAGTAGTATTACAAAACTTTCAGTGTCCACATTTTCCTTCTCCGTAAAAAGTTTTGATGTCAGTTACGTTTGCGGAAGGTCGTCTAGTCAAAGTGGAGTTCTACGAAGGGCAGAATTTGCCCATCTTGTTAAGCTGCTCAGCAAAATCACACCTGCTTATCAGAGGAATCGCCACTCTCCTGAACGCTGGGAGCGCAAAATAAAAAAGCAATGCTTTTGATTTAGCGCCTCTGAGGAACAGCTAAATAGAGACAATTTAGCGAGTATTAAGATTTAGAGTACAGGATTTTATCGTGTTTTTCACCCAGTGCAAATTTGAAGTGTGGAGATAAATGAGATGGAACAATGAGGCTCCGTAACGTAAGGACTTCCCATGTTCTTACTCCGGAATTTGCCTACAACCCCTCTATCTTTTTGGAGCCTTAGTGAAAGCCCTGATGCTACGCTGGCCGATTTCAGTGCAGTGCTGGGACCAGCGCCGCGGATTTATGCAGTAACAGCCCACTGAAAATTCTCATTGTTGAATATTGTTCCTTTACCTGCACTAGGTTGGAGTTATTCTCTCTGGAGTCACCTCCAACTTCAACATTGGCATTGGAGATGTCATATTTTTCCCCGTTGGAACCCAACATTACATCAAGAGTGTATGTGATGAGGATTTGTTTTTGATTCTGGCTTACAGTACAGGAAACCAGGTGAGAGTTCTTACGGGCAAGGGGAGTAAAAACACATTCAACTGTACATAATCTTACACTTTTCTCATGCACGTAATCCTTACGCTTTGGTGCACGCCTTTCGAAAGAAATTCTAAGAATATGTCGAGTATACTGACAGTGTAGGTTCCCTCCTGGTGTGAATGCTCGGCATGCGACACCTGTCAAAGCTCCGTACACGGAAACAGGAGGTGGGGAAGACACAGAAAAGGTCTGTTGTAGGGTGTGGCGTGCTCCCCTGTGCGTAAGAGATGGAATTCGGGTCGTGTTTGTGCGTGAGGTACTGCTGGTGTTTGAGACAGGGCTTGTCCTTGGGCAGACTGGACGGGGTGGGGGGTCTTTACACACTGAGCACCCACAAAAAGGAGAGACCTTCCTGAGCCCCGAACAAATCCTGTCTGAGCAGCCAGAGCCAGGGTGTGTTTATCTGAGACCACATATATCCAGTGATCTTGATAGCCCACTGTAGGACTCGTCGTTAGTTACACACTTCAATTCATTTTCATCTTGGATTTGAGGTGCACTTTAATATTCCATATTATTGATATTGTACAAATGATCAGGTAGCTATGATTATTCTTTCTAAAATGCTGCCTTTTTCTCCATAGCTGGAAACGCTTCGCATGAATGACTACTTCCACGGAACAGCAGATCATATCCTCGCTCAGCTTTTTTTCAAGGAACAGGCCGAGTTCAAGAAGTTCCCCAAGGCTGCCAAAAAATGAGGCAAATAACTTCTTGCGGCGGTTAATGGCTCCAAGAATTTTTCACGATCACCATGCTTCTAGCAGTGCTATTTGGCACCTTTCTCGCTGTTTATCCAGAGGAGACGCTCAGAAAAAAAGAACAATTTGGGGTTATTAATTATAAAAAGTTATTTTCTTTTTGTATTTTCCTCATGTTTTATTTATAGTGCAATGTAATTTGATTGTATATTAAAGTAATTTCTACCGTTCCAATTACCTGTTGCTCTGTATAACATCCGCTATCCCGCTGTATCTCTTCCCCTCGCGCCGCTGAAGTTTACATCAATTTTCTGTCGTGTAGACAGCGCTCTTATCTGGCGGCGGCTGCACACAAACCCCACGCGTTCACACAGCTCGACCTGCCCCCAAACCAGGCGTTGTCCGAAGCTCCGCATCCAACAGCAATCGCAAGCACGACCTCATCGTACTTCCAGGTCGTCTTCACTCGCCCTCCCCTAACTGCGGTCCCCTCGGTGTCTTTGAATTTTCAGGACAACTAACTCCTTTTCCTGACTTTGGCCACCAAACTGCTGTCTGGTTTTGAAAGAAATATTTGATGCAGAGCGTAGACTCTGTGTTAGGCACCTGCGCTTCCCCTGCAAAAGGTTGGGGGGAGAGAGAAGCCCCCCCAAAAAAATCAGGCCAAAAAGAAGCAAAGATGATTTTCCAGACTGGCATCTACACCATTCTCTTGTCACCCTCAGGCTCCCCTTCCTTCCCGGGTAATTATTTAATTACAGCTGACTGGATGGCTGCAACAGGAGCCAAGGACATCTTTCTCTGTTTCCCATGGGTTAGGGTGTTTTTATTTTTATTTTTGTCTTGGGAAACACTTGCTAAGTTCATGGGGCTTCAATCTAATCAGGATCAAAGTGGTTTATGACTTGTTATCAACACAATAAACAAAGGTTGGGTGAAACATACAATTTCAATTTCAGTGCGATAGGACGGGGGGGGGGAATGGCTTTAAACCAAAAGAGGGAGATTCAGACTAGATATTAGGAAGAAATGTTTTACGCTGAGGGCGGTGAGCCCCTGGCGCAGGTTGCCCCGAGAAGCTGTGGTTGCCCCATCCCCGGAGGTGGTCAAGGCCAGGTTGGATGGGGCTTGGAGCAACCTGGGCTGGTGGGAGGTGGCCCTGCCCAGGGCAGGGGGGTTGGAAGTAGATGGTTTTTAAGGTCCCTTCCAACCCAAACCTTCTGGTGATTCCATGGTTCGTTTCTCATCAAGGGTTTTGGTAATCCCCCGGTGATTCTTTAACCCAGCTGAAGGTCATCTTCCTCTTCAGCTTTGTCAGTTCGGGGCAAACCCCCCATCACCTCGGGGTACTCCACGTGTAGGCACTGCCACGCTCCCCGTCCTGCCGGATTGCTCCGGCCGTTTGCAGAGCGGAGAGATGGGCTGTGCGGGTCCCCGTGCAAACCTCTGTTTGTCCCTGTCTTCTCCAAACCCACCCCAGCCAAGCACATCGGCGGCCCCGCTGTCTCCGTGAGGACTTTGGGAAGCTCTTGGGTGGCCGTGCTCAGGCTGGGCCTCGCAGACCAGACAGGAGAGGGAATGCCCAGACCCCAATGGGGCCAAAGGGTTGACTTATTCAATGCCTTCAAGAAAAGACACTGGCTGCACGTCCAGGATGAGAAATTTCACTATCCCATCATTAACCTGCAGCTCAGTGTGGGGTTTAAAGACCAGAAACAACGCCTAAAATAGGAGTTGGGCACAAAAGGCTCGAGGGACCTTCCTCGTCCCCTGTCCCACCAGAGCTCGCAGGAGCAGTGTTTCTTCTGTGCCATGTCCTCGCTGGTCACTGCCTGGCCTTGACCCCAACCTCGGGGTCAGTGCCAGGACTGGATAAGCCCTCTAAGGCCTGCTGCACCCCAAGGGGTGGACACCTGCCTTAGTATTAAGTACTTTCAGATGTGAGGAGAGAAACATGGTGGTTGCTCAGGTGCAGGGAATCAACCAGCCCGAAGTTCTGGTTCAAAACGATTCAGCTGGAAAAAAGGAAGGTTTAAATGCTGGGTCCTCAGCTGAGGTGCTCTTTAGGCCGTCTGGAGACACCCACCAGGTAGGGAAGATGCTCTGCTTGGCAGATGGGTGAAGGTGGCTCGCTGAGGAACAGGGTGGTGGGGTTTGTGCAGCTGTGGTTGTGTTCCTTTGCTGTGCTGTACTAACAGACAGAACGCTGCAGTCTCTTACCCCGGGGGCTGTGATGTCTCTTGTCCTTTGAACCCCGTGGTCCCAAGGCATGGTGTTCAGAGGTTGCTGGTGGGCACCCACCAGACGTGTCAGTGCCTGGTTTCCACCTGTGTCCTCAGTCGTGTGCTCCAAGGGCTGGCTGTGACCTGGGACCCACCGTTGGAGAGGTGTGGGTTATCTCGTGTGGGTTTTTTGGCTTGTTGCTTTTATGCCATGTTGTATTTGACTGCAAACTACTCTTTAAAACCTAGTTTGGGAGATTCAGGTCCTTTACCCAGGTAGATGCTTCTGTTATCAGTGTTGAGCTGGGCATGTCAGTCAAAGGGGGGGATTGTGTTAATTATAATGTCCTATGGCGCTGGACCGCCGCCAGCCCTGTAACCCTTGGTGTTACTCCAGGCCGTTAATAGTACAGCTTTGCAGATAACGACGGGCACGTAAGAGCGATAGATTCAGGGAGTGATGAAATATACTCTCTTCTTTTGCCTTCTCTTTGATTAGTAAATTAACAAGAGGTTCCTCCAGCCCCTGCCAGTGCTACCGGCCCAAGATGATGAAGTGAGGTCTGATTCCTAAAAAGATGAGTTGCCTCTAAAATCTCCTTTCTCTTTTCCAGACCTTTTTTTCCTATTTGCCCTGAGGATGATTAGTCAGATTTTTGTTCAAAACAAAAGTTTTTCCAGTCGTGAAGTTCTTGAACCAGCACAGGAGAGATGAGCTTGAAATACATCCCATCCTCTGCGCCGAACTTTGGCCAGAGAGATGAGAACTGAGCTTCTCGTCTCAGTTCTGAGGAACGAGAAGGTGGAAAGCGATAGGGACTGCGGAGGTACACAGGACCTGATCCGTGGAGCTTCTTTCTCACATTCCGTTCTGCATTCCTCTTTTCTGGTAACTCTAACTTGTGTTTATGGGATTTCCTTCAAAATCAAGCTCCAAATCTGCTCGGTGGTGACCGAGCTGGTCACCCAGGAGAAGGTTGAGAAGTCCTTCAGATAGCAAACACAACCCAGCACACCCAGGCTCCTTTCCAGTTTCCCCAGTGCAGCCCATTTGGGTGGATGCTACCTGTGATCACCCCGGCAGAGGCTGCGATGCTCCACGTGGCCTCCCCTGAGGTGACAACTGTCCCCAATGTGTTTGGGGGCACTTGCTGAGCCAGCATTTGGCCATCACAGAGATGGGGCTCGCAGCTTCCTCAGGCAGCCTGAGTCCTGATGGACCATCAGTTTTGGTCGGTTTGCCACTTGGTTGCCCCCCACTTTGGGCAAAATTCTCGTTCCCGCCCCATTCCTGTGCCAAGCCATCCCCTGGAGGTGCCCAATGTCACGCTGAGCGGGTTTTACAGCCGAGGATGCGATAGTTCTTCTATAACCATCTGCCATAAACCAGAGGGTTCGTGCACCCCATAAAATGCTCCGCGGTGGTTTTCTTTGTTTGGGAAAGTTTATCCTTTTCCAGACCTGGCACCGCGCGTTGGCCTTAAAGGCGAGCGTTTTACAGCCCGGCGAAGCTTTACTCCTCGTGGAGTTTCACCAGTTTCCTCCTAGAGAAAAATTACTTTTAAAATAATTGATGGCAGCGAGAGATTGGCACAGGACTACCTGGAGGCTTTTAAGCTCCTCGAATCCACCGACTGTACGTGGCTCGGTGCCACGGCTCGCTGCCCGCGTGGAGAAGCATCGCCCCCATCCTGTTGGAGCTTCGTAACTCTTCCAGGTTGGTTCTGCTTGAGTTAGCAGAGCTGCTAAATGGGGAGGTGGGACTTCTTCAGCCAGTGAAGCTTCCAGAAGCTCTGAAAAGCTGCTCGGGGAGAGCATCGCAGCCTCAGGAGCTGCTCCCACCAAGGCTTGAGGAACCTCCCAAAGCCCCCACCTCGTCCTTCTCAGCAGGGACAAGTGGTGGCGGCGTGGTGAGATGGAGGCGAAGTGTGGGAACACGTTGCGACATAGCTTAAAAAAAAAACCAACAAAACTAAACCAGGCAACAAAAATGCCACACCCCAGCTCATAAAAAAAAAAAAGCCCCAAAATCTACTAAAACTTTTTTACTAGTTCTTAAAGAAGTATCAGAGTTCACATGTGTTCGTGCAGCTGTGCTGTAGCCCCCCTTTTTGTTTGTTTTCGGCTGTTTAACAGCTATATAGTCTCATTTTGCTAATATTGCCGTTGTAACGAGTAACCTGTGCCGTTCCATGAACAACCCCACACAAACATCTCCTCCAACGTCTTCTGTTGAGATCCCAGCAGCTAAAAAGCCATGACAGAGCTCCGTAGGATCTCAAAAGGTCTCAATACAGGACGATTTAATAATTAAACCTGAGCCGTACATCTTGGGTACAACCCTACATTCCTTCTCATGCTGATGAGCTGTTCTGGCCTGGGTGAGTTTTATAGATCCCAAAAGCCGAAAGGAAATTCCCTGCGCTTTATTGCACGTTCTGATCGCAGCCAGGTTAGAAATGTTGAGAAACCTTTTATCTTGCACGAGCAGTACAAACACGGCCGCGCGGAAAATCCAACCCACGCCCTGACCCCAGGCGACCTGCGCCGTAGTGAGTCATCTCAAAAGCTGAAGGGTCTTTTGAAGGCAAGCCAAGGTTGGTTGGATCCCAGTTAGCTTTTGACAGCCGCGTAGCCTGGAATACCTTCCCTTGGTTTGTAGAATGATATTGTGGATTATCAGGGTGGCAGCGCTTTATGGTCTGGGGTTATCCATTCCCCCAGCCGGGGACTTCCCAGAGCCCTCAAAGGTACCTGCCAAGTCCTTCGTGGGTTTAT